GTGTGTGTGTGTGTGTGTGTGTGTGTGAGGCAGCGTGGGGATATCAGGCGCTCGTCAAAATAACGAAATTGGAGAATCAGGCTTTTTTCCGCCAGTTTGGAAATTTTTATCCAATTTTTATTTTTTGGCTGATCCTCTTTTCTGTCCTTACCAAAAAAACAACAACATTTTCATTTAAATTAAACTGAAAAATGTTGATTAAATGCACAAAATATGTAAATTATCAGTTTTCAAGGATTCTCAAGCTATTGAAGTTACTAAACTTTGGCTTTTATTTTCTCGCATCTGTGAAACCAGATGACCCCCATTTCTTTAAAATTGCAAATACCTGAACTTCTATTCAAGATAGACGAGTGTTTTTTTCTAAATCGAAAGCTAGGCAAATAAACAAGCTTTCAGATGATACCAACAACTCCACATGCTCAAAAATTGACGAGCGCGTGATTCCACCGCGTTATGACACGTACAGTAATGTCAGTATCACCAAAGATAGTACATAACAAGATAGTTCACTCGGCCAAAAAAGTGTCGGCGGAAGTCCGCGCATTAGTTCAGATGGCGCTGCAGTCTTTGTTTTGAAGCTCTCTTTCGTTTCTCCAGAAGAAGAATAGGAATAGCCAAGGAGATTAAAAGTACTAAGGTCTAAGCTCCTTGGGAATATCACAGTTTGTTAGTTTCGCTTTTATAGTTTTTCTACACAAGTAGGGTAACTGTTCGCATAGTCCACACTTTTTCGAAGAGGGCGCCACTGGATTTTGAGGACACTTTTTTAATTGGCTGTCTCAAAGAGAGGAGTGAACTATCTTGTTATTAATTTACGATCTTTGGTGTCACCCATAGATGTACACTAAAGGGGGTAACTCTATGGTGTCACCCCACAAGCGCCTTCCTCTTCTTTGTTTCGTTTTGTTGTTGTTGTGGTTGAAGTTTTGAGAAAAGTAAAGAACAAAAAAGAGCGTCCAAATCAGAACCATGACTTGAGCACTCGTTGTTTTTTAATTATAAAAAAATGCGAAGGAAATAACAAAACAAAACAACAACAACGACGACGACAACAACGACAAAGACAACAATTTGTGTCATCTCACTCTCAGATGTACGCCTCAGATGTCATCTCACTCTCAGATGTACGCCTCAGATGTCATCTCACTCTCAGATGTACGCCTCAGATGTCATCTCACTCTCAGATGTACGCCTCAGATGTCATCTCACTCTCAGATGTACGCCTCAGATGTCATCTCACTCTCAGATGTACGCCTCAGATGTCATCTCACTCTCAGATGTACGCCTCAGATGTCATCTCACTCTCAGATGTACGCCTCTGATGTCATCTCACTCTCAGATGTACGCCTCAGATGTCATCTCACACTCAGATGTACGCCTCAGATGTCATCTCTTGTAACACCTCTAATCTTCGGCACTTACATGAACTTATTGTGTTGCAAGTGCCGTAAAACACTTACTAAAACTAAACTTTAAAAAAACAACAACTTTGGAATGGCGAGGGCTACATACTGCCGGAAAGAAGAGAACAATGGAACGGAAGCAACCAGTTTTTTTGTTTTTTTTACGCTGCCCAATTGCATCATCTGGCGCTTTTGTGTTTAGTAATAACACCAATGTACGCTTCATTTTGGGTTTTGAAATTGTGTTGTAATTAGATGTGGCGTCGGTGGCCGAGTGGTTAGGCTCTCGGACTCGCAACGGTAAGGTTGTGGGTTCGAATCCCGTCAGGGGCTTTCGGAAATGCATTTTACACTAATTTTCTTCACTTTATCCAGGTGGGAAAGGGTACCCAGCTATAGACAGCGAAAGATCTTGTCAGTTTGTTAGTGTTTGGGCGCTTAACCAGCTGCTTGCACTGTAATCTTACCGGGAAGCTGAGAATGTTTCTGAGTGTTCTATGGTCTGCTGGGGTAGTAAACTACTAGTAATATATTATAGTGCAGTCAAAAATTCGTTGCACAACTAATTGTCAAATATTTCTTATATGACAGAACATAAACTCTCCAGCTTTTGCACAGTGACTTGTATCAATTTGTCATAACAGATTAATATTAAATTTTGTAAAAACATGTTAGCTGTATTCTAGAAAATTCCTGAATAAATGTGTGTGCCTAAAGGAAGGTACCAAAAGTCGAATTTTGACCATTTTGAGTTAAGGGTTGTACCTTACATGAAATTCAATGCTGGACACAGCGGTTTTCGAATTTTTAAAAGATATCTCAAGTAGTTTTTGAGAAATTGCACTTTTTGCGAGGTAGGATATAAAAATATGTATTTGAGAAAATGAGCTTTTAAGTTTAACAAACGTGAGAACACATACAAACGTTAAAAAAACCCCGATTTTAAAAAGGTATTTATTCGTGGAAAATTCATTTTCAATTTGGCATGCAGTTGACATCACGAATGGAATTCAATGGTAAAACATAGCAGGGAAGAGAAAACGTGCTTCAAGAATAGATTTTAACACCTTTTAAAAGCAGTTTTCATTACTTGTTTTTATTATACCCTTCCCTCAAAATAATTCAAAATAAAACATTTAGAAGTCAAATCAATGAAAACCTTTTGAGTAAATTTTTAAAAAATGTTGGATCTATCATTTTTTTTCAAATGGAAACACATTTTGGTCAAAAAAGTGATTTTTGTCATTATCAGCCTGTAGCTCGAAATGGTCCGAGCGACTTTTTGTACCTTTCTCTGGGCGCAATACTAATAAAAAAAATCCCAGTGAGTGGGTGGTTTCTACTTATTTTAAAAGGTTTACAGCTAGGGCAATATTGCTTTTGAAAGCAAGTCCGCCTTTTTTTTTTCTAATCGCGAGATTATCTTTATTGAACGTATGATTTGAGAACTTTAAGCGCAAAAAAAGTGTTTACTATAAAATAAATTCCTCGTAACTAGCTTTCAGCCACACCCCTGATCTTCTGGTAGGACAGATCTACACCTCGCCTTCTCGGACAAGTAAAAAAATCTCGGAGGTCCCGAGTGCAAGTTGCGCACTTTAAGATCCCTTTGTGGT